ACTTTTAGAAACTATAAGAATAATATTTTTTTTATGTGCAATAATATGCCAAAAAGGAAAAGTACGACCTGGAAATCATAAAATATACCACACACACATACATATTCCTCCCAAAAATTAAGAAACAGAAAAATACGCTTAATAATGTATATGTATTATTAAATAATAATAATACTCTTAAAACGTGCAAAATATTAAAAATTGTTTTATTTCTTGATAGAATAAAAACGAAATATATTTAGAAATATTAAATTTACATTTGTTTAGAGTTTTAAAATATGAAGTATTTAATTTAAAAATCTTTATAGGATAGGACCTATTTTTCCTTATCGCCCTTACATGCCCTTACATGGCCGAACTACCATCACATATGTAAAGCTACAAAACCATAAAATACACGCCTAAAACTCATTCTAAATTTCTTAAAATGGCTTCTGATTAAAAGATGAATTTTATACATATTTATTAAAATAAAAATTACCTAACTAACATGCTACATTATGGTACTGGCTAAGATATAAGTCAGATATGAACTGAATCTACTAAAATTTCTTTTAAAATAGTTTGTTCAATACAACAAATAAATCAGTTGCTTTTTATCTGTAAAAAAAAATAAGCTCCTCTTTTCACTAATTTTCCGACACAAACCATGTACGCTATATTTAAACTTTTCATCATTGCAAAGCAGGTAAACAAAACCATCAATCCCAGTACAAATCTATGTGAGAAGCAATAAGCCATTTGCTGAAGTATATACTCGTCACAAAATAAGTGCCTTGACAAGTAAGAGCCTTACAAAAGCAGTTGGAACAATAACTATCCTGACCCAGAATAGATTCGTGTTTTGACAGATGGCACTATAATGAATAAAGCGGCTGTATATTGCAATTTATACACCTCTGTTAGCTCATGTCCATTGTCCATCAGCCATGCCCATGTCCTGCATGTGTCCACTGCAGTATGCCCCACTGCAGTGGACACACACTTTTAACACTTTTCTAACATAGATGCAAGAGGTTCAAGTGGTTTTCTTAGCTGTATCTAATTTTAAATCTGGAATTTAATCTTTTAAAAAGGCCATCATTCTTGTTGATTCTAGATCGGGCCATAGAGACAATAGCTCTTCCACACTTTTCCGAATCTCCTTTTGTGACAAAAACAAGTGATATAAAAAAAAATTTTAAGTCAATTCCTTCTTTTTTTTTACTCTATTGCAGAAATAATTAAGCTTTATAAATAATTTTCATTCATTTTTTTTAAATTTTATCTGGAACCATCTATTGGTAGATATATGCAACTTAAATCTAAAAAAAAAACTAAAATTAATTAATTAAATTTAATTACTGAATTACTATTCGAAAAAACTGTATTAACAACAAGTGTCATCCACTACAAGTTCAAAAAAAATGTATTTGAACTTGAGTGGACGAATAAAAAGTGTTTTATGAACGATTGAAAATTTGAACAAGATGTATATAGGGAGAGTGTGAGCTAATAGAAGGAATTGAATAAAACAAAATATCAGGGAGCTAAATATGAACGATGAAACTATAGAATTCCAGTGGATACCATCCCATGCAGAATATATTGATAGTAATGAAAATGCAAACCTATTGACAAAAAGGGGTACAGAGTTATTTATTGAACAGAGTCCCATTCTCTTAGATTTCCTTAAGAGAAGTATACGGGAAAAACATTATGTTGATATACAATACAGAACTATCAATGAAATCAAGGGATAAACTCCGGGATGATTGAAAAGACGTCAGTCGCAAGGTTACATAAAGAGGTAGTGGCAAACTTTAAACTGAGAACAGGGCACGACTGCTTGGCAGAACACATCAGCAGAATAGGCAAACTGACTAATAGCCTATGCTCTATCTGTAAAACAGATTCTATGAATAAACATAACTTCTATACGGGCCTTGACCCTACGTTACAACATAGAGGTTGGTTTGTCGCTCTATGGTCATTTTTTTGCACACTTTAAACTAATTAGACCGGGACCTAAAATTTAATTCCGACCCACTACTAACATCTATACCTCAGCTAGGATTCGAACCTGAAACCTGGTATCAACCGACAGAGCGGTAGCCAATTGAGCGGTAGCTCTGGCAGAAAGGCAGCCAATTGGTCAACAAGTCCCTACAACATAAAGGAGATGTTTGCCTGTTGTACTGAATGACCAGGGATCTCAAATATATATACACTGAAGTGACAAAAGTCATGGGATACCTCTTACTATCGTGTCGGCCCTCCTTTCGCCCGGCGAAGTGCAGCAACTCGACGTGGCATGGACTCAACATGTCGTTGGAAGTCTTCTGCAGGAATATTGAGCCATGCTGTCTCGATAGACGTCCATAATTGTGAAAGCGTTGATGGTGCAGGATTTTGGGCACGAACAGACCTCTCGATGATGTCCCATAAATGCTCGATGGGATTTATGTCGGGCGATCTAGGTGGCCAGATCATTCGTTGGAATTGTCCAGAATGTTCTTCAAACCAATCGCGAACAGTTGTGGCCCGGTGACATGGCACATTGTCATCCATAAAAATCCCATCGTTGTTTGGGTACATGAAGTTCATGAATGGCTGCAAGTGATCTCCAAGTAGCTGAACATAAGCATTTCCAGTCAATGTTCGGTCCAGTCGCACCAGAGGACCAAGTCCATGCCATGAAAAAACAGCCCACACCATTACGGAGCCACCACCAGCTTGAACAGTGCCTTGCTGACAGTTTGGGTCCATGGCTTCGTGGGGTCTGCGCCACACTCGAACCCTACCATCAGCTCTTACCAACTGAAATCGTGACTCATCGGACCAGGCCACGGTTTTCCATTCATCTAGGGACCAACCGATATGCTCACGTGCCCACGAGAGTCGCTGCAAGCGATGTCGTTCTGTCAGTAAAGGCATTCGAGTCGGTCTTCTGCTGGAATAGCCCAAGAAAGCCAAATTTCTCCGCACAGTTCTAACAGACAAGTCCCACAAATAGAAATGGACATTGATTTGATTGATTTCTGCGGTTATTTGACGCAGTGTTGCTTGTCTGTTAGAATTTACGACTCTTTGCAGACGTCGCCGGTCTCGGTCGTTAAGTGCAGGCGGTCGACCACTGCGCTGTCCATGGTGGGATGTTATGACTGAAATTTATACTCTCGGCACACTCTTGACACAGTGAATCTGGGAATGTTGAATTCCCTAACGATTTCCGAAATGGCATGACCCATGCGTCTAGCTCCAACTAACATTCCGCGTTCAAAGTCTGTTAATTCCCGTCGTGCGGTCATCATCACGTCAAAACCTCTTCACATGAATAACTTGAACAGAAATGAAAGCTCTGCGAAAGCACTGCGCATTTATACCTGTTCTATGCGATGCTACTGCCATCTGAAAATTTGCATATTGCTATCCCATGACTTTTGTCACTTCAGTGTATAAGCACACGTTTACTTCTCCTTTTAGACTTTAATGGGTTTTTTTTTTAATTTTAAGGTTTTACTTGTGTAATTTTTAAATGTTTTTAATATTTTGATATTGTGAAGTTTTAGTTCTAACTTCACAATACGTGTTCTTAATAATTCTAATTATAACTTCACTTTATGTGTTCTGAATAATTTTGGGTAGTATGTAATTCTCAATTAATTGTTGTATTATTCTTTGGCGAGTAGTCTGATGTAAATGGTTCCAATTTTGTTATATAGAAACAACACCCATGACATGACGAGTATTTAACTTCCAACAAGGAATCCCTATGCATGTGATATTTATAATTACTCTATAGGTGAAGCAATGTATAAGAAGTACCTTTACTATATGGTGCAACCTCGGTACCATTGTATTTGTCACACATCTACCATGATAAAGGCAACTAACATGTCAAATACCTGGCAGAGACCACATCTAAAAAGAAATATATAAATCCCTCTAGCTGTTTCACCTTATTCCAACAGGAATTTCGAATTTGTCGAAATGCTTTTAATTTCCTCCGCCCATACACAATAACACTGTTATTGCCTTCCCCAGACGCCATTCTGCAGAAACAAAGAAAGAAGATGACATAGAGAAAAAAAGCATTCCAAGTGTTTCATCGAAATTCCTATTCCACAGAGTCATCCAGACAAGTAACTAATCGAATATTTCTGCAAACGGTGTGCGTGTTCTGGAGCAACAATGTGTGCCAAAAAGTTTTCTCTGCTGGGGAAAAAACAAAAGAGTTGAGAACTCTCTAGTTTTAGCCACTTTCTTTATCGGAATAGAAAGTGTAAATAGACTTGGAAAAATTGAATTCAATTTCTGTAATATTCTGTTATTCAATATTTGAGTTATAAAAATAACAAATAGTTTTTTGTTTTGCTTTATGAACATGGCCATTATAAAAATTGTTTTAAAATGGCATGAAAATCCGATGCGAGGCATTTGGATTCGAAATATTATTAATGTCATAAAAAAAGGCACAGTGATGTTTTTAATTAAAATTCCAATGTATTATTTATTTATAATGCTAAATATCAAAAAAATGTCTTAGTATATATGATTAAATCTATAGAAGAATGTTTTTATTACTGTAAAAATCGAGATCATAAAAAACTGATCCATAACATATTTTTTCTCATAAATCGAAAAGTGTTTTTTTTTTTTTTTTTTTTTTGCCGAAATGTTTGTGTGATAATTTAAATGAGAGGAGAATGAAATGAAGAAAATAGAAAAATGAAGAAAATAGAAATGAAACAAATAATAATTAAGAGAAAACGTTTTTAACTGTACTTAAGCATTGAAACAAACATTAACATAACGAGGCCCGCGTGGGCCTCGTGCAGGACACGAACAGCCCACCGATGTTCCACCCTCACCTTTCTAACTGGTATGGGGCTTACATAGCATAGCATAACACTAGAACAATAGTACAATATAGTAGAATACAAATAGTACAATATATCATATAGTGCAATACAAAACATAGCCCAATATACATACTAGCTACATAATAAGTACGGGCCAACGGCCATACCATGCTGAATATACCCAATGCTGCTTGACGTTAGATCACCGAAGTTAAGCATCATTGGGCGCGGTCAGTACTTGGGTGGGTGACCACCTGGGAACACCGCGTGCCGTTGGCATTCACAAATTTGGGACCTGAATGGCCGAGTATCTAGCGCTCTGACGCTCGGTGCCACAGGTTTCGGGTTCGAATCCCGGCGGTGCCATGGATGTTTGTAGTGGTTCGAAATCCACTTTAAGCCGTAGGTCCCGGTCTCCTATGACTGTAAGCCAAAGTCAGACTTCTACCTACGGGTGCTCCATCACAACAGAAGCTGCTTCCTTACCCTTCAATCATGAGTACGTATGAGATCGTGGTCTTGGCCAGCCAAGTGGGATAAGAAGCAAGAACATAATAAGTACGGGGGCGAGGTGTGGAGAAAGGAAAATAAAATTTTCGAACTCAACCCTAAATATCCATTTCTATGATACAACTATAAACCAGTAAGTTCCGAAAGGTGGAATGGACCATGAATCCTCTCTCAAATGACATCCTGATGTTATTCATTTCAAATTTATGTGTAATAAGATTGGTGCAATCTAGTAAGCTCTCCTCTAGCCTGGATAACGCTGAATCTTCTAAATATCTGCCATTCTAATCACCCAAGACAAGTATTCAAAAACAGCTGCATTGTAGACGAATCAAAGTGGAAGAACATTCTTAGATATTTATCAAATTTAAAACATACCTGTTTTCCCTGGATCATTTATATTCTGTAACATACCCTAGGCACCCCCCCTATGAGATTCGATAAAGATGCTCCCTGAAGCATGCTTATTGATTAATAACGCCAGACAAGGGGAAGTGCCCAACTCAAACACAGTACGTGCTCGAGTGCTTCACTCTCAAATGACACTAGACGGATGAATCCTCCCATTTCGCGAAATTAAAGACCAGATTAACAACTCCCGGCATTGATTTTATCTCGTGCATTATTTTATTTCCTTTACATTTTAACATGAGGGTTAAGTTTTCTGTAAATAATGCAACATCCTCTTAGATAAAATACAATGAAAAATTCAAATAAATTGCAAATAAATATATTCAGCATTATTAATATATTAAAGGACGAATTTCACCATCTGAGATAAAGGCAATACTAATTTGATATGTTTTAATCCAAACATTCAACACCTTTTTAAAATTACAAATTTGGTTTGGTTTGTCACTCAACAATCATTTTGTGCACACTTTAGGTTAATTAGACCGAGACCTACAATTTAACGTGGATTCCAAACCACTCACAAACATCCATGCCATCTGCCAGGATTCGAACCTGAAGGCCATGGTACCAGCGGCCAGACCGCTGTTTGAAATTACAGGACTAAATGTCAACAGAAAAACAGGTACTACTAATCTCACAAGATTAAAGATGAAACACCACAAAAATATGAGCATTTCTGTTGATGACGTTAAAAAATAACCAAAATGGTGCAACAGCCTTGATGTCGAGTTGACTCCTCATGATGTCTTTGATTTCCCAATTGTTGCAGCCGCCATGAATTGCCTGGACCATCCCTCGAAAGAGAATGTATACTTATACTGGGATTTATACCGAGCTAGCAATCACCGCCAATATTATCCGTGAGCACGACAATATTTGAATTTCTTGTACTCTTCAAGGGATGCGACAACAGTAGCCTCTTGTTCTGCCTTTCAATGCAGCACAGTTGCTCGATTCTTGACTCAGTGGTAACGTATGTCAAGGCAGACTGCTACCGGTACGACAGTTTCAAGACGCGCTAGGGCACATTGGTCTATATGCTCGTAGGCCTGTCAGATGCGTTCCACTTACAGCAACTCACTGTCGCCTGCGATTAACCTGGAGTAGAGAGCATGCATTGTGGACACCGCAACAGTGGTCTGGTATGATGTTTTCCGACGAGTCCAGGTTTAGTTTGCAGTCTGATTCTCGCCGTGGTGAATTTCATATGGTGAGCGCCAGGTACCCGTTACCACCAAGAGAACACCATTGAACGACACCGTTACGGTGGTGCAGGATGGCTCGTTTGGGGAGGAATTATTATTGGTTCCAGAATTGACCTGCATGTTCAGAGTGTAACGATGACAGGCCACATCTATCGGAATATCATTCTGGAACAACATGTACGTTTGTTTCGGGGCGCCATGGGTGCTGAATTTCTGTTTATGGATGACAACGCCCGTCCTCATCTTCAAACATTGTAGACGAATGCCTTCAATTGGAGGATATCACCCGTATGGATTGGCCAGCATACTCACCAGACTTGAATCCAATAGAGCATGTGTGGGATATGCTTGGCCGACAAATTGCAGCCCGTCAACCCCCTCCCACCTGTCAACCGGAACTTCGGAGGGCATTGCTTGATGAGTGGTGTAATATTCCCCAAACTCAAATTGATAATTTCATACTCAGTATGCCTAAGCGCTGTAAAGCCTGTATTGCATCGTCCGGGAGACATACTCCATATTAACCATCATACTAACCATGTTATATTGTTTTCTGTAAATAGGTTCTTTTTTTGAAATTTGCTCCAGGGAGTAAAAATCGCAATTTTTATTAATTATGTCAAACATATAGCATCTTTTTTGCTCTTTACCTTTTGTTTAATAAATAGACTTTACAAATAAGTCAAATTTGTTTTACTTCTGTCTCTTTCTTTGCCTGAACTTCATTATCCTTAATTTATTGGACATGAGTGTATATTTGATCATACAAAAATTAAATAAAATAAATAAAGTCATTATATCAAATATATATATATATATGACACGAATATTAATTAAAACCATAATAATTAATGTGTAGGTTGAAATAAAATATTAAAGTATATGAAAATATTAATAAATTAAAAATATATGAATATATTAAATTACTTTAAGAGTCATAAGAACAAACTATAAATGTTAGATTTTTAATATTTAATATAAATAAATTTAATTAAATTAAGAATATTTAAAATAAATAAAAAAAAAAATAACTGCATCGTTATTGCAAAAAGAAGAGTCTATTCATAAAATAATCTAATGAAATGTTTGTAAGAATTTTTGTGAGAAAAATAACTAAAAAACATTGCTTCATTATTAAACTGAGTTAGTAGAAAATGATTGCAAATTAATTTATAGCCATACTCTTTAAAATTATCATCAATTAGTAATAAGATAATTTGAAAAATTACTTCATAAATATCAAGTTATTTCCGATTTAATTGCCGTTATTAATTTCACTTAACACGATTTTTGTATTTAAATTACTTTTTAAATGAGAACTGAAAACTATTTTATTGAAAAAAATGTTAAATAATTAATCGTTTAATCAATTCATTTCAAAAAAATAAAAAATGTTAGCCAAAATATTCAAAATATTTATTTAAAAAGGTTTTTTTTTTATCAAACCACAATCAGGACAAAACAAATTTCCCTTTCATTAATTAGCAATAAATAACCAGTGGTGAAAATAAAATTTTTTTTTGCACCCGACGTTCTCCATTATATATTAAAAAATTCAATGTTTAAAGGAGTATTTTCAAAGGAATGTTTTTTATTCAATGTTTAAAATTATTCAATGCTGTTTAACTTTAATGCTTCTTTGTTAATATGGTATAGTTAAAAACTAATGGTGATCTTTAATGTCAAATTTTTCTTCCATTGGCTTACACAAATTTACGAAGCCTACAAAAAAAAAGTAACTTTATTGCCTATTATCATTTTAACAATTTATCGCTCACTTATATATATTTTAAATGATAACCACTTATGTACAAAATAATTCTGCAATAAAATAATTAAAATATGCAATTATAATTATTTTTTGGCACTCAGTGCCACAAGTGTTGATTTCAAGTCCAGGTGGTGCCATGGATGTTTGTAGAGGTCAGGAATCCTCTTTAAACCGTAGGTCCCAATCTAATATAACTGTAGAGTGTTGGGCATAGGGCTGAAAACCCTACCTCGTAAAAAGAAAGCCTCCACTGTCGTGAAATCAGCCTGTAGGCAAACGGCCTATGTCCACCATTAATTAAATAATTATATATATATTTATAATATATATATATATATATATATATTATATATTATATATATATATATATATATATATATTATATATATATATATATATATATATATATATATATAATTTATATTATTATTAATAATATGAACACATTACATTTATATTATTCTTTATAAGTTTTAAAATATGCATTTCCAAATTATAATATTTTAAAACAAATTAATCATCCACCAGTATAATTCAGCTTTTATGAGGACATCCTGAAATTGTTATAATGAAGCGAGATTCTTATTGAAAATGATACATTCTCCTATCCAAGTTTCGTACAAAGACATATCCTACCAATTCTAAACTCCATAGATTTGGTCTGTCTTCATCTCCATTATGACCGATCTGCAAAGCTCCGGAAACATATGAACAGTTCCGTAAAATATGTAGAACCAAGACACAAATTACAAAGAGCTTTGGGATATAAAGTTCTATTTTACTTTTTGATATTTGATATGTCGGACGATTCATATTATAAGACAGCAATGATTCTTCAATTTCTACGAAAAGTCTCGTAATCTTATAAATAGAGATTGCAATACCGGTATACCGGGATACCGAATACCGCTATTTTGAGCCATTTGTAGAATTTTGTAATACCCGTATTCACAAGTTTAAATACCGTTTTTTCGGTATTTAACAGAAATTTAGAATTCTTATCTGTGAAAGAATTCTTACCTGAAAACAAAAAATTCTTATCTGTGAAAACAAGGTTGTAATTGTGAAGAAAGTGTGTAATATTTCGATATTTTTTAAATTGGTGACTTTGTTATTCACATTGTATTTACATATCATACTTAAGAGTTCAAAATATTTTTTAGATTTATTATATATATATATATATATACTCATAAATAATACCCCATAATATTGAATAAGAATAACTTTAAATAACTTAAAAAATCAGTTGATAATACTTCGGTTTGGTTTCATTATTTATATGATGAAAAGAATAGGGTGGCACTCTGTAAAAAATGTTCAAGAGTTATTAAAGTGAATGGAGGAAGTGCAAGCGGACTCCATACACATTTAA